GTCTGGGCTTCACTACTATAAAAAAAGATATCCATCTATCCATCTACGCATCTATCTGTCATCATTCCTTTTTCTCTATCCCCTGTCTCTATAAACAGCTTCATGCTCGTCAATTTATTCATGCTGTCCTCTCTCCTTTTCTTCTGCCCCCATTCATTTTTGTCTCTTGAAATTTAGCTGTGGTTCAAACACAACAACTGGTCACTTCTATGTAAAGTCCAAACAAACATCCATGTGAAGGTTTTTATGGATTTGCAGAGGTTTGGCTCAATAACTCCCCTATCATTTTCTCTTTTCAACAAGTCACCACAAACCTTCTGTGCCTTTTGTGACACTGTTGCTTTAAAGCCATGTCCCCTCAGAATATTATTTAAAAAAATATTGGCTGGGTAATAAAATAACTTCAAGGCAAACAGAGTTTCAGGGAAAACAATACTTTGTGGTTCTAACTATGTTTTTTATATTTCTAAACATAAAAAAGTTGATGTAGAGTCTATCATCAAACATGTTTGCACAGCTATTGAGTTTATACCTGAATACTTTATAAATATTGAATATGAATATTAATATTTTCAGTGCTTAAACCATAACTGTATATCACACCTACGAGAGAGGTGATTTTGTTTTCAAGTAGTAGGGGAATGTGATCAATAATTTCACTCTTACCTGTCATATTCAGTACTTCTTTATTCAGTGGAAGTCAAAAGAAAAATCCCATAAGTATCCTTCCCCAAGCACCTTCCTATTCTCAGTCTCTGCTTGATGTGTTTCTATATGAAGCATGCAGACAGATCAAATGTACAGTGGGGTTTTACCAACAATGAGTCTTGTTAAAGTGAAACCTTGGCATTTCCAATTTAAAGGTCTACATGTCATTCTTTTAAGAAACCTCTTCTTTGATTACTTTTTATCATGCATGAAGCATTTCTGTATTGTATCTTTTTTCTCTTTCATTTTTCTCTTCATTTGTAATTTCGCTTTTCTCTGTTTATTAAAGGCCTCAACCCTATCTGCACTGTCAAGTATTTTTCTTTTCCACCTACAGAGGGGCATATGTAACAAGATGAGATGACACATTTTACTGTATCAGCAGAAACAATACGGTACACTTTGTATGAACCTATAACATCAGCAGTTGACATTTTCACACTTTTCACTATGTGAGGAATAAAAGAGGAGGGGTTCCATTGTTTTCATCTGGCCCATTATCATTAATGAGCAAACTGTTAGAAGACAGTTTAAGGACAGGAGGAAGGTAGATTTCGAGGTATAACCTTTTGCTTCAAAGCTATTAACATTCTTAATTATGCAAGGTGATAGAGGGAAATTTATTGACCATGGACATTACAACCTGAACTACAGCACTTTTAGTACATTGCACAGTGCCAGGACACTGGAGCACCCATGGACTGGATTTATATATTTAAATCCTCTTTAGGAGGGGACCGGTTTACCATATTTATTTCATATTCAATTGATAAACTTCTGCTAAAATATTTATAACTACAGAGTCCAAAAAAGGAATATAGGCCTACACTCGGGATAAGCTGACATTTTTAAGTTACCCTATTGACCACCATAACCAATATGTGACAAATGATATTTAAAGCCTTTTATTATTTTCACTCACTTTCTGTTTTATCCAAAATATCAACACTTCTGTTGTTTTCCCCCTAATGAAAGACTTGCAACCTAACAAGCATCGCACTTTTAAAACGGCTCTTTCGTCCGGCAATAACCTTTTACTATTGTGCCTCAGGCCCCTCTTGTCATTGGCTAAAAGCAAAACCAAACAAATCATCTTAATGTCAACAGTGTTATTACCACTAAGTGGTACTTCCCACATTTGCTCAACGAGGCCAGTGTGACTATAGTTCTGACTGGATTATGGGCAAGGTGACTCAGCAGGTAACCGCAACTTGTCACTCACATGTTTTCAATATGTATCAGATTTTACAGTGTAAACACCTGAGTAAAGACTGACAAGACGTAGAAGAAAAAACAGTGTGGGAGTCAGAAAAAGAAAGACAGACAGAAAAGAAACGAAGATGGAGTGAGAGGGAGGGAGATAATAGAGAGAAAACATGTGTTCTCAGTGTCCGGAACGCACCAGTAGAGCTGAAAATAGGGATTGGGACAGTTGCACCGTAGCTTCATTTGAGAAGACACACTCGACTGTCTGTTCTCTAAAGAACTCTGCTTGTACAGAGGCGAGGCCTTTTGGGAACATTGCTATCATCTTAAAAGGCCATCTCTGTCTCTCTCTCCACCTCGCTTTCTTGGTCTCTCTCGATCTCTCTTTCTCTTGCACTCTTGCGTTCTCCCTTCTCTCCTTGAACAGAGGGTGAGGCCATTAGGGAACAATGGTGATATCTTTAAAGGGCCTGCTGTGGCTGAGAGAACAGCACTGCCAAAACCCAGAGGATCCATGTGCTGAATCAGTGGTCACAGAGCACAGAGGGGATAGAGGGATTTAAGTGGGGTACGAGAACATGTGTGTGTTTGCCTGTGTGTGCATGAGTATGTGTGCATGTATGGGGTCTATTGTGTAGATATTTTGTGTCAACTCTACCACGTTTGGGGATACATTTTGGATTTAAACCAGTTAATTGAAGGTTGTTTAGCTAGGGAAAAAATGGTGTTCTTAGTTTCAGTCTTATTTAGGGTTAGGTTAAGGTTAGAGTAAAAGCCTTTTCCCAACTGAAAAACCAACTTCCCAACCAACTTCGGTTCAGAGGGAAAATGACCACAAACCACATCAGTTGCTTAAGATTTCATTATAGGGATAAGGCATCAACCAACAAAATCCTGCAGAAGACTGTTCAACAACTTGGAGTCAAGCACACACAAGTTGCTGTTAAAGAAAATACAGTATGAGCTGACAGCTTCTCTACGATTAAGGAGAGACTGTCAGATCCAGATTCAGAATGGAGCCTCATCCTGACATAAAAAAGATTTCTTGATACTTTTGTTAACATATTGGTCTCTAATCACATCATGTATCATCAGTCAGTCTCACATATGCTGTTTTTACAAAATACTTTATATGTAAAGTGAAGCTGCCAACAGTGTAACATGCACTTCACCAACACTTCAGCTGTGTTTGTATACCTGTAATCTACTAATTTATTTACAGATTGGATGAAAAATTATCCATGAAAAGTTGCTCAGAATTGATTTAGTCATGGTATTTACTACACTGACTTCTGAGGTGTGGGACTAGCATTTCCAGAAAGGCCACATTTGCCACTATTCAATATCCATCCCAAATAAACTGCTTGGTCGAGCTCACTGGTTAGAACATATTTTCATGACATTCAATACACTAATAAAATGCCTTAATGTCTTCAAAGATTGAGTTTGCGCCTGCAGAATGCATTGCAAAACAATTCCACTGCAGAGATCTCACTGGAAATCAATGCATACAACACATTAATTGTGTTAATTGATTGCAATGAGTGAAATAAAACCCCATTACAGCTATAAGGATTAAATCAACAGTGAATGACCTAAGACAGAAAATGATTTCAGTGCTCTCTATGGGCAAAAACTTTCAGGTGTGTTATACTTCTGTCCATCCAACAATGAGTTATGTCACACTCTGTGTTTAGCTAGAAAAATACCTCCTTTGACATAACTCATTGGGCTGAGATTCAAAATGCAACATACGCAAGAAGTGCTCCCTCCTGTATGGCTAAGAATTAAATTATATTTTCACATAAAAGGGCCAGAATAAAGAAGGTGGAGCAGGACCATAAGTGGATGGTATAAACTGACAGAACAATACAGGGACATATTTTTATATATTAAGATATAATGATACTAACTTGTAGATAAGCAAATAGAAATGTTGGGGTCTTAAAGGAAACTTCACACCAACCTGATTTGGTCTAGAATTTGGACTTTCCAGTTTGATTTGAATGAAAATTACAGGTGTGAAACCTCCCCTGGACCACAGTACGTACCAAACAGCCGAACCTTGGTCCAACAAAAAGAAGTGGCCCCCGGTCTGGATCAAATTGAACCATTGTTCAGTTTGTTTCTAGTATGAGTAGTAGTATCAGAACCGGGAAAAAGATAAACAACACAACAAAAAAAGTGAGCTGTGATTTCTAACTAGTCTCAAGTACTGCGCTTGAAGTTGGTTATTATGGTAGTAATGCTGCAACAGAATACAACCTGTTGAATTGACAACACGCCGTTGTCATATATGCACTTAATCTACTAATCCATTCAGTGAATATATGAGTATGTGGAGATGCAGCTCACATAGGCATGTCATGTATAGTTTTTTAGCGTGCTCTCATAAATGCAATGTAAAACCAAAACTAACCAGATCAAACCTATATAATGTAATAAAAATGCAAAAACCTTGGTTCAGACTTTCAGGTGTGAAAAGGTCACTTAAGAAACTTTAGGTATAACACAGACCACATGCACAAATACACACTGTAAATAGACCTGTACATGCACAGAAGACAGCAAAGCAATATATCTGTAGAAGGAAGCTAAGAGACCGAAGAAACAGAGTGGCACTTTAGAAAAGGGACATGTTTCTAGTCTAATGTTAGAGTTAATGGACTGGAAAGAGAGAGGGTGAAGAGACAGAGAAGCAGGGTAAAATGAGACAGCATATACACACGCAGGCAGTCTGATATGTCACTAGAATAAAGATGCATCAAGATACATGAATGCACAAGTGTGCCTGTTTCTGTGCATATGCATACATATGTCCATGTCTGACTGTGTGTTTGGGTTATTTGGCAGAAATAGAGAGAGCGAGAAATGTTTCTGGCTTAACCACATCCATTAACTCTCTAATGTCCTATCATGCTGAGAAACTATTGATACTGTTACATTAGACAAATTCAAAATTCATACAGTTTTATAGACCTACTGCGTCTCCTTTCACCCATGTCTGTGATAGATAGATATCTCTATAATTATCAATATGAGGGTATTTTGAGTGTATTTGGAGTGTGAGTGTTTAGTTTCCTTACCAAAATCAGAATCATAGAAGAGGATGAATTTCTGCCAGCTGTACTCAGACACCACTTGCATGATGACCTCGTTGAGATAGACAGGTGGGCGGACCATAAGGGTGTAGTCATCTGTTCCAGGGAGGCGACTGGTTTGGGGGCAAGCGGAGCGGGGTGATCCCGCTGGGGAGCGCTGGATAAAGAGGTGGGGGATGTGCATGGCGTCGGCCAGAGTCTGAAGGCTGCCTGCTGACATGCAGCCGATTGAACTGACCAGAGCCAGGATACCACGGTTCATCAGCTCGCAGGCTGGGTGGAAGGGAGATGGAGGCGGCAGAGAAAGAAGGAGAAGGGAAGAGGAAAAACAGAAAGAGGAGGAACTTGTTATTTTTCAAAGCATACAAAGGAATTTATTCTACTCATTTCGTGCCAAGAATCATGAGTGGTAAAAATATATGTTCCATCTGTGGACAATACCAAGCCTTGATAAAGTTTTGATCATAATAATTATTTGTGGTAAGAGTGCACAAAGCCAAATAATTCTTATTCTCGCCACACTAGAGCACTGACTAAAAAAGGACAATTATTTTTGTTTTGTTTCTGCTTCTTTCCACATGCTTTGCAAAGTTACTGTGAGGACCAAAGCTGCTACAGTCATACACAACCTGCTCTGTGGTAACAGAGGGCATGAAAGAGACATAGAGGGAGGAAACTGGATACAGGTGTATACATAAATAAGATACATGGTAAAGCTATTTGGCAGCATAGCAGGTACATAATGTGTACAGACAAAACCCACTATGACGCAAATAATTGTAGAAACATAAAGAAGAGTAGTGTCACCTTCCTATAAAACTAAAAAACAACAAGTCAGAACTCAAGTTTACTCAAGTATACATGTTGACAAACACATGAGACTCAAATGATATGATGTAGGATGACTGCATCACCAAAATACTTGGCGCAGAGCATTCTTTGCATTATTCTTGCCAATTTACAATACTGCATTAGAATGGAAACACAATGACTGGAGCTTTTGCTTGTTTCAATCCACCCTGTGAGCACCATTTCATAGTGTTTGCTGACATCAAGCACTATTCTTGCTACTGAATCAAAGTCAGGCCTTCAGCCTGGGGTGTAAAAGAGTCGTGCCAATGTCCATATTATTGATTGACATCCAGGCTACTTCATGAACAATAATACAATCTAAAGTAGCATAGAATAGAAAACTATTAAAGTGTGCTTCAATAAAAAGTGAATTCAAAGTTTGTATTATTTAACAATATAAAAGATGCCCTTCTTGCCAGATAGACTATCCACAATCCCCCAGTTGTTTGAGCTTTACTGCCTAAATGCTTCTCAGCTCCCAGACACTATCTGTGCTTATTTCACCTCCTTTTCCTCCTGCCTAGACCTCTAGTGCTGTCAAAAACACCTCTACCTCCTACCCTCTCAACCCACTCCCCAGTTATCTCCCTTCTTGTCCAAAACAGCCCCTCTGAGTGCTTACCTTTCAGCCCCAATCATTTCAAAGCTGCAGTCTTGCCGTGATTTTCATTTTAGTTGCCTTACAGCACCACTGAATGTTGTACACTGTCCTCAATTTGGAGTCATCTGCCTTCCTCTTTCACCTCCTTTCTAACATCCTTTCTTCAGCACCTTTTCCATTCCACCTCACCAGCCGTTTTCTCCCTTGTGTCTTGTTTACCCTTGTGGCACAACACAAACTGCCACCTATCCTCTTTCCTTCCCTCAATGCAGCCATCTTTCGATTAATCACCTCTTTATTACTTTTACCCACTTGGTCAGCCACATTTTGCCCTTTTAACCTTGCCCCCTTTTTTCCATCCCTCATTCATCCTTATCCTTTTTTCATCCTTCACTTCTGCTCCCATGCTGCTCACTGAGTCCTTCACTTTGTGTACCAGAATGTGTTCATTTCACTTCTAGCTGACTAAAGTCCTGTCACTGAGTCACTCAGTAAAACAAAAAACTGTGGGAAAAAAGTTTAAAGACAGTACAGTCAACACAAACAAATAAACAAACAAACACACATACAAAGACAACAATGGAAACACAATCTAAAACACACACAGTCAGCCTATAACGCCACAAGGACTAATCTGTCGACACTGCAAAAATAAAGCCCGAGAAAGACAGAGAAAAGAAAGAAAGAAAGAAAAGCTCGAGAAGACAGATTCATGGTGTTGAGAAAAGCAGAATGAAACTTTATATGTGAGCATGCATGTGTCTATGAGAAAGAAAACATGAGAGCTATACAATATGGCAATGTTTCCTGTGTCAACTGGTTTTCACAAAAACAACTAATGAGCTGGATTTAAAGTGGTTTGTGGGGATGAATTCGCAATCATGACAAATCCAAGGATGTTTGAGTGCAGTAATGATGGCGCCTGTTTAATTGCTTTTGTTGGTTAATTACATAGTTCAAGCATTACTGATTTAATTTGGATACATTACTTTTGAGATGTACAAGTCACCCTAAAACTAAATTCATGTGAGACTTTAATTGTCTTGTGCAGTCTGCATTTGTAAACAAAAAAGCTTAATTCACAAGATTAAAGACATTCCGGAGCTCGTCTATTTAAAAAAAGTCAGTGTCTAAGGTAAATTGGTTACAGATGTCACTCAAGTCTTAAGCAATTTGGTGACATAAATCTAATTTGAAGGTAATGGCTATAAATATATGAACACAAAACCCATTCTGTAATTAATTGGCAATAGATTGTCAGGAATGATTTTCCTTTTTAGCAATAGCTAAAGGCTTATTTCACGCAACCATTTCCTCATGCATTGATGTAGATGATTAATGAGTAGAAGCTAAAGCAGTTTCAATCTCACTGCCCATTGTGCAAGTCCACATTTTGAGGAATTAATTAAAGTGTAACAATATATGATTAAACTCCACTAAGTCTCAGCATACTGCTTAGTCATGGCCATTATTCTTAAAACCAATGAGCCCGGGATTCATCTTCTATACTATCATCTTAATGTTTAGGCATATGCCTCTGGGTGTGTGTGGGAAGGTACACCTGTGGATTTATTTATGCGTACATTCAGTGTGAATGCATTTTCTGCCTGTGCATGTGAGTCTTAATATTTAAGCTGAATAAGCCAGTCATGTATCATAACCTACATTATCCAGATTCCATATTCCTATTACAGCAGTCTTGCTAACACTGTAGCCGCCTTGCTCGAGTCTAGCTACAGTATGGCGCATTCGCTTAGCATCATCAAGGCTTTGGCTAATGGAAGGTTTTGCTAATCCCCTACTTATTCGGGCACTTTGGAGAATTAGCGGCCTCATCCCCTCTACACATGCACACTCTTAAGTCTGCAGGGGGCTTCTGAGCACTAGGCTCATTAATGCTCTTTGCTAATGACTTAAAGGGCCCATTGCGTTAACCCAGCCCAATGTTACATTGCTCTGAAGTAAGCAACAGTTAAAGGAGAAGGTTAAGAGGTGCTGGTGAAGCAAAACATATCTTTAGAGTTTGACAACTCATAAACGAAACACACTTTGCTTAAAAAAGTCTTGCCTGGACTGAGCGCTGTATAGATGGATATTATTTCCTTATAGCTTTCCACACTTTAAATAATAACGGCTGCGATCAATGACTCCACTTGGAGCACAAAAACAGATTTGGACAACCGAAAGAGGTATGTAGGAGTGCAAACAAAGTTTTTCACCTATCATCCAGAACCACAACCACCCCCTAAATCGCACTCACACACCACCACCGTCGGTGCCAACCCACACAGCACACACTTACACTAAACCACTCCTGTACATGAGATATATACTGACTCATGGTAAATCATTCCGCTAACCAATGTCGCTAATGCAGCTAGGACCTGTCAAACAGTCATGAAGAGTTGAGTTGAGTGAGGTACATGTCACACAAACAGACATGTACACATCCACGAGAGGGAGAGAGACCCATCTACTTTGTTACTTTATCTGCTTATTTATTTTGATGGGAGGTCATGTATGGTAATATATCTCATCTTGTGAGGCCCAAAATCTCTACTGTGACCTCAACAACTTGCAAAAATGAGATAAATCAATTGCTTTTCATGATTTTTCATGAATTCAAGGTCCACTGAACCACTACCTTGCCGTGGACTTGTTTACATGTGGCCATTTTTGATGCATGTTCTGTATGCCAGTATGCATTGCACATGAGTTGTCTGCAACAGAGCATGTTATTGAGCTTGCTCTCTCTCTCTCTCTCTCCAGCTTGTTGGTCTGTCAGAAGAAATGGACTGCAAGCACTTCACCTGCACCCAGGTGTGACCAATTCTTCTCTCTATCTGTGTCTCTCCAAGCAGTTCTCCTCCCACCACATACTCTCACACACTTTATCACACTGATACCCAGTCCTCCAGTTTCTATGGCCCAGTGACTGGGTATGGATAGGAGAGGAAAGAGAGAGGGGTAGGAAGCAAGGAAATCAATAGCTGAAGAAAACCAATAAAAGAATGTCTGTATACCTGTAGCTGTAGAACATTTCTTGATTGAGTTTGACACTCTAAGGGACCTTGACAACATTGGTAACACAGTCTTAATTAGAGTTAAATATGTTATGCATAACTCGTATAATATGATATAATATTTATTTTATCACTAGGCCAATAACAAAAAAGAATGAATTGGGTATCTGAAACGAAAATACATTCAAAACGAGTACACATTGACAAAGATATGCAGAGAACTAACCAATACTAGTAGTAAGCCGGTAAGCCATACACTTTGTGTGATGTGTCACAGCAATCTCAGGACAACAGTGGCTACAGCATCTGCCTGCCTCATTATGTCACCTGAGTTTAAGTATTTTACGCTAAAAGAGGGGGAATCCAAAGTGTTCACCGTAGCTAGGGGGGAAGCCACTGTAGCAGCAATGAAGTACATTTAATACTGTAAATTGCAAATTCAAAAAAATAAGGTGCATATAATTTCCCAAAACAATGCACGAAAACAAAGCAGGAAGTTCATCTTGTTGCTGTCATTTTAAATATGAGTTTCTCTCTGCCTTCAGCTCATTCTTGCTACTGTTATGCGCACCCTTCCCCCTCCCCATCACTGCCCAGTCTTCAGAGATTCATCGGGTTCATTATTTGATCAGCCTATCAGCCTCAACAGCGTCGTCAACCAGCACCACCAATGTCCATTGGAGGATTTATCTTGTTGCTGCTCAGGGCAAACCTTAAAATATATATTGGAGACCAAATGACAAACAGGTTTTTGTGGAGGAGTCTCCAAAGCTCAGAATTGAAACTGCAGTTTAAGC